CATATACCCGGCAAAATTGTCCCTCAAATATGATGGTGAAATTAGGAGATTTCCAGATAAGCAGAAACTAAGGGAATTTGTTAAAAATCTAGTGGAGGATAAACCTAAACCTACTGCCATCAAGTTGATTCCAACTCATAGTGACCCTACAGAACATAGAACTGCCCTAAAGTTTTTCCAAGGCTGTAAATCCTTACAGAAGCAGACTGCCTCCTCTTTCTTCCACAGAGCAGCTGATGGGTTCATACTGCTGACCTCTTTATTAGCAGCAGAATGTTTTAAACACTGTGTCACCACAGCTCCTTAGTAGGAGGTGAGCCAGATTAAAAATGTATATGGAAACTCTGGTGGCGTAGCGCCTAAGGCATTTGACTGCTAACCAGGAGTCTGGCGGTTTAAACCCACCAGCCAATTCTTGGAAGGAAGGTTGGGCAATCTACTTCTGTAGTGATATCACCTCAGAAACCCAAGGAGGGGTTGCCAATGAGTCGGATCTGACTCCACGACAATGGTTGTGTTTGCGTTTTTTATGGTTAGGAAGCCTGTAGATGAAAGGACGGGAGGAAATGTTCCCTGTCATGATAGAGAGAGAGAATATGAGGAATCTGAAGAAACATTTGATGTGGTTAGATGGAAGAATCCAAGGGAAAAGTGGCAAGGAACTGGCTCGAAGCTTAACATAGCTCTTAAAGTTAAATCAATATAAATCTATAATTGGAAATGACACTTAGTTTAATTAAATGAATGAACATTTATTGAACATTTCTATGTGCCAGACACCATGTAAAGGCCAACATTATAAAGAAAAATAAACAGTCTATATTCTCAAGGAACTCACAAACTAGAGTGGAAGAGAGAAATAGGCCAAATGTAGCGGCACAACTTCACAGGTAGTATCGTATTTAAACCTCTCAAAACCTTTCTGAGATAGGAGCTAATTCACAAATGAAAATAATTGAGGCTTGGGGAAATTAAGTAACTTGTTTGAAATCTCACAGTAAATGTTACAGAGCTGCAATGTGAACGTAAACAGCCTGTTCATACTATGCTACTTCCTGGATGATTATAAAATAAGTGCAATGACAAACATAGATTAGGTCATAGAAGAGTGAGAAAAGTGACCTCACGCAAATTGGGGAGATCAGGGCAGGCTTCCTGAGGATGATGCTTAAGCTGACTCAAAGGATGTGCAGAGGTAAGCTATGGAAAGGGAGGTGGCTATGGAAAGATAAGGAAGATGGAAGGAACATTCCAAGAAGGAGCTAGAGCATTAATGAAAACACAGAAGTGAGAAAGAATGTTATATAGTTGGTGGAAACCATAAGCAGTTCAGAGTTGCTGAGGGTTGAAATATAAAGCTAGGAAAGTAGGCAGGTCCCAGATCACAAAAGGTTTGTACAAGGAATGTGAACTTAAAAAAATATAGAAAACTACAGACAGAGAAGGAGCTCTGGTAGCGTAGTACCTAAGGCACTTGACTGCTAACCAGAAGGCTAGCGGTTCAAACCCACAGCCACTCCTCGGAAGGACGATGGGGCAATCTACTTCCGTAGTGATACTGCTTCGGAAACCCAAGGAGGGGTCATTATGAGTCAGGTTCGACTCGACGGCACATAACAACAAAAACAACAGACAGAGAAATAAACATCCCACCAAACACTCCCACCAAAAAGGTTTTAAGCAGGGAAGTCCCAGATTTGCATGTGAGTGGGCTGTTCTGGTGACTGTATAGATGTACTTGGTAGTAATGCAGTAAGAGGCCCACAGTAGATTCAGTAGCAGGAATGAATCAAGGAGTTAGAGGGAGTAGGAAAGGAAAAGTGAGGAATGATACTCAGATTTTCAGATTGGGTGACTAGTAATTTCAATATCAAAGAGAATGTTTGAGAAGTTATTCTCCATACAGCATTGAATGATCTTCCAAAGTATTAACTGAACCACATCACTTTCCTGTTTAAACCTATCAACACCCTTAGAATAAAATCTAAGCTGCTTCCCAGGGTTTTTAAGGACTTTAATGATGTGGTTCCTGTGTACCTCTCCAATGTCATTTCTAATCCTTATGCACTATGCTCCAGCTACAGTGGTCTCCTTTCTATTCTCCATACCACCTTTCCCATCCAGGGCCATTGCATTTGTGGTACTGTCTGCCTGGACCTATCTATCCTTCCTTTAGTTCTTTTCAGTGGTTGGTTCTGTCTCTTCCAGGCAAGAAGGGGTTTTAACTCCAATGTCACCACCTCAGAGCAGCTCTCCCTGACCATTAGCCCCACGATTTGCCACACATCCACAAACCCCTCACATTATTATCGTTTCCTTTTATTTACTTCATCACGATCTGTAATTAACCTTATTTTTCAATCAGTATATATGCCAATATATAGAGAGAAACACGTAATACTCCTGTACCTACCATCTAGTTTTATCCGAACTGTCCAGCAACGGTCTCTGATCCTATAACTTCCTGCTTCACTTATTCAGGCTTCAATCTTCTTCACTCCTTGCTATTCTTTGAGCTCACAGGTATGTTTCTCCTTCTGGGCTTCTGCACTGGCTGTTCTCTCCCTGGGATGCTTCTTCTTTTGGGAACCACCCACCTGACTCCCTCCCTTTTCATGTCTTTGCTCAAACTTAAATCTTTTCCCAACTACTCTTATTTTAAATAGCAACATCCTTCCACTCTTCACCCTTTATCCTTAATTTCTCCCCATAGTACGTGCTATCATCTGACATTGTGCATGTTTCACTTATTTAATTTGTTCATTGTCTATCTCCCTCTATTAGAAGGATAACTTTATGAGACAGAAATTTTTGTTTTGTTCCTCCCTGACCCATAATACTGCCTGATACATGGAAACTCACTGGCACTGAATTAAGTCTGATTCACAGTGATCCTATGGGACAGAGCAGAATTGCCCCGTAGGGTTTCCAAGGCTGTAAATATTTATAGAAGCAGACTGCTTCATCTTTCTCCTACAGAGTGGCTGGTTAGCAGCCTCTTGGTTAGCAGCCAAATGTTTTAACCACTACACCACCAGAGCACCTTGGTACATGGTAGGTAGTCAACAAATATTGCTGAATTAATTTTTGGTTGTATTAATGGACTTAAGCCTTAAAGTTATTGCTTTTATTTGGATAGTTTCTAATCCTCCAATACTCTAGAAAATAGTACAAAATGTTGTTAATGATGATAATAACAGTAGTGGCTAGTATTTATTGAGTACTTACTGTATCCCAAACATTGTTGTATATATCATCCCTTGATATCCCTTAATCAAGGGATGATATATACAATTAATCATCACAGCAGCCCTAAGAAGCAGCAAAATGAAATGTTCAAGAGCACAGATTTTTAAGCCAGTGTATGTAGGTTCAAATTTCAGCTCTGGTGGCATAATGCCTAAGGCATATGACTGCTAACCAGAAGTTGGTGGTTCAAACCCAGCAGCTACTCCTTGGAAGGAAGATTGGGCAATCTATGTCCAAGATACTGCCTTGGAAACCCAAGGAGGGGTCACTATGAGTCAAAATCAACTTGATGGCAGTGAGTTTGGTTTTTAGGTATGTAACTAACAGTCCTGGTGGTGCAGTGGTTAAAGTGCTCAGCTGCTAACTGAAAGGTTGGAGGTTCCAACTCACCAAACACCAGCCACTCCGTGGGGTAAAGTTGTGGCAGTCTAGTTCAGTAAAGAGTTAAAGCCTTGGAAACCCTATCAGGCAGTTCTACTCTGCCCTAGGAGCTCTGGTAGTGTAGTGTCTAAGGCAATTTGCTATGGGCAGAGCCTCTGCGGTTCAAACCCACTGCCACTCCTCAGAAGGAAGATGGGGCAATCTACTTCTGTAGTGATACTGCCTCTGAAACCCAAGGAAGGGTTGCTATGAGTTGGGTCCGACTGGACGGCACATAACAACAACAATAACTCTGTCCTATAGGGTCTCTGTGAGTTGGAATCAAATCCAAAGCAATGGATTTGGTTTTTTGGTATGACTGGGCATATCATTGTCCCAGTGAAAGTTTCCTTATCTGCAAAATGAGATATTTTAAGGATTAAATGAGACCTAGGATTTAAGAGTATGTCTTTCAACTGGATTTCTCTAGTTTAATTTCCATCACTACTCTGTTCCTGAGGAGCTCTGGTAGCATAGTGCCTAAGGCATTTGACTGCTAACCAGAAGGCTGGCGGTTCAAACCTACCAGCCACTCATCGGAAGGAAGATGGGGCACTCAACTTCCGTAGTGATACTGCCTCGGACCCAAGGAGGGGTTGCTAAGAGTCGGGTCCGACTCGAAGGCACATAACAACAACTCTGCTCCTGCATGCTGCATTGGAACCACATCAAGCTACTCAGTTCTCAACCTGTTTATGCCTTCTTTGTTCAAGGCTTTTACATTTCTTTCTTATTCTGTAATCGGTCTAAGTGTTGGTGAAAATGTCCCTGGGAGAAAGTGAACTCTGATTTCTCAGTTTGATTTCAATGTCACTCTACTGTGCTCCCATGACACTTATCACATTGATCATTAATTGTAGATTTACTCATCTGTCTGGTGCACAAGACCTCCTTAAGGTCAAGAGCCAGATTTTATTCACTTTGCCATCATGTCTTGTGCTGCATAAATATATAGGTTGACATTAAAGCTTTTAGGCCAGTGTCTAATATATAAAACACCCAGAACAAGTTCTCTTAAAAAGCAATATTGCTAGAAATAATCACAGCTCATGTGTATACATGCTAAGCACAAATGCAACATTCTTTGCGCTTGCACAGCCTAAAGGGCTCCTCCTGATCATCTATCAGGAATATACTTACTGAAGCCAAATTGAGAGCTTAAGAAAAGAACAAAGCCATAAATCGCTCTTTCTGGCAATGGCGACGGTGAATTTTCCACCATTTTCCCTGTGGCTTTAGACAATCTGTGGAAAGGAAATACAACAATACATCAGTGACTTAATCCCCTTCGCCATTGGTCTATTATAACCTCATCGCTTTGCTATGGGCAGAGCCTCTGCAGGGGTGTATTTCAGAGGAAACCACCGAAAACTGCCATCCTGCGCACACCCCACTACACACCCACATGCGCCCACCAGCGGAGGGAGACAGCACTGAAGTCACAACGGGCGCTCCAGCCCCTCAAACTTCTCCTGCATAGGGGAAGGGGAGGGAAGAGCAGAGAGTGGGGCCCGCATGTCGCCGACTTACTCCGAGCTTTCCTGCCACGGGAGCGCGGCCTCCCTAGGACTGGGGTCTGCCCTCTCTTGGGGCTTGTTTCTCAATCGAGGCCTCATTGACGGACTGCGTGGGGTATACCCTCTACTAGTGACCCTTTAGTCACCCACCCCGGCCCCTCCCGCCAACTCGGCCACCTCAGCGCTGAGTCCTCTGCGCAAGCGCTGACTAGGGAGGGACCAGCAAGAGGAGCGGGAGAGCGAAATTTGAGGGAAAGGCAAAGGAGCTACGGCGCCCCTCCCCACCACAAGCTCACACGCACGCCGCAAGCGGGCGGAGGAAAGATGTTTGCGCGAAGGTGGGCTGGATAGCCGTGCTCGCGGCCACGGAGAGAGGGGGTGTGGTGGCCCAACTGCGCATGTGTGTTTCTATTCCACGTGACAAATCTGCAGCGCTTCCCCTCCCGCAGTCTGGCTGACGTGGAGAGCAGGGTGCGGCGGCGGCTGCCGGCGTCCGAGGCTCTTGGAGTGTGGGCGCCGGTAAGTGCACCCTGGTGCGTGACAGGTCACCTTGTACCGCCGTACCTGAAACTCCTTGGGGAGAGGGGGTCCTCCACAGCCCCTGCCTGTGTGTGTGTGTGGTGAGTGGGTGTGTACACGTTGCAGGTTATCCCCTCCCTGTGGTGCCCACTGTGAGTCTACGTGGGCCCAGGAACCGTGAGGGGGTGTGTCCTTTGTGTGTGCTCCCGTTCTGCAAGCGGGTGTCTTGTGGGGGTCTGTGCGAGGGTGAGAGTGTTCCCTTTTGTGTGCATATCCCCCTGCTGATCGCGCGCGCTTCTTCGAGTGTAGGTGACACACTGTTGGGTGAAGGGGTACCCCAGCCCGCGCGCGGGCAAGCGTCCTTGTATATCCACGACCCCGTTGTGTTCGCGCCAGCCCTTCCTGGCATTGTCGTGGGCGTCCCCCTCTTCTCCTGGCCTCCGTGGGTGGCCTTCACTTTTGTGTCATTGCCCCTCTCTCGGGCGTGCGCGCGGCCGTTCCTTCTGCGAGCGCGACCCCGGTCCGTAGCGTCCTCACCCTGAGTGTTTAGCGTGTATGCTGTATTTTTCCCGCAAATATTCGGGAACGTTCGTGCACGAGCCACCTTCTTTTGTTCCCTACGTAGTCTGTCACCAGTTTTTTGAGAATTGGTTGCAGAGTAGAGTGCCTCACTGGCCCCTCCCCAAGGGATGGACTAGGAGAGGGGGTTTTCCCAAAGAGTGTTGGGGAAGACTGGACAGGTTCGGACCAGCTGCTCCGTAGTGTTTGCAAAATTAAGTGTGGCCTGTGGAGCCAGCTTGTCCCGGGGATACAATGGGGGATCAAAACCTAGCCGAGTTAAAAGGTGAATTTAGGGGTGGTGCTAGTGCGACAGGCGTTTTCCAGAGGAACCCTAGTTACTAAAATCCTTCAAATTGCAAACCCCTCCTAAAGTATATGGGAGCTCTGGTAGCAAAGTGCCTAAGGCACTTGACTGCTAACCAGAAGGCTGGCGGTTCAAACCCACCAGCCACTCCTCGGAAGGAAGATTTGGGCAATCTACTTCTGTAGTGATACTGCCTCAGAAACCCAAGGAGGGGTCGCTATGAGTCAGGTCCGACTCAATGGCACATAACAACAAATAACAACCTAAAATAAATGTATTGGCCAACGGGGCAAATACCTTGTTGGTGACTCTGACCGTTCTTAGTAATACCTAACGGTTTAGGTAGGGTTTTGTTATGGCTTTCACATAAATTATCTATTTTAATTCTGCCTAACATCCTGGTGGGGAAACAAAGTAGAAAAATAATAAATTTTACTCTCTTGAGCGCAGTTTCCTCCTAATTACAGCTCTGGTCAGGACATTTTTTTATTGCAAAGATTTTGCATTTTAAGGAAAAGGAGGTTCATTGTAAGAATTCACAGGGACCAGAACGTCAAACCCATCAGAAACTCAACTACTCTTGTTCTTGGGCTGTTTGGTTTTTTTTTTTTTTTTTTCTGTTCACCTCCATTTTCTTGCCTAAGTGTTTCTTTCTAATTTCTGGAATATTTCCCTCATAAGATACAAAGAAAGATCTAAACAATCCGTAATTCAGATTTTACAGATGCTAATATTTTACCAAATTTACTTCAGATCCTTTTTTCTCCGCCTTAAAGAAATGTTGCACATATTGGGGATGCTTCCCTGTCTTTCCCCTCCTTTCCTAGACATTGTCACTGTGTTCAGGTTTATGTATATCATTCCTTTGCATATTTTATACTTTGATCACAGTGAATCCATAAGCATCATTTAGTGGTGTGTTTTAAAACTTAAAAGTATTAAACTACACGTACCTTCTTGCAATTTGCTTTTTTTGTTCTGCATCATATTTTGAAATATGAATATGAATAAATTGAATAATTATATTGTCTCTGGCTCATTCATTTAAATTGATGATATAGAATTCCACCGTATCAATATTCAGTAGTTTATCCATTTACTTACTGATAGACTTTGAAGTTGTTCCCAGCTTTGTACTCTTAAAAACACTCCTACAGTAAATAAACATCTTTGTACATGTTTGCTTGTAAATACGTTACGTTTGAAAGTTTCTCCGTATGAAATATACCTAGTAGTAGATTTCCTTGATAGTAGGATATGTGAATATCACAGATGCTCTCCAAGTGGTTGTGCCAATTCTACTCTTATTCATGTTCAGTGAGAATACCTATTTCCTCACATTCTTGCTAATGGTTTATGCTTTCAGACTTCTACATTTTTGCCTTCTCTATAAATTTAGCTTGGAGCCACCTTAGCTTCTGTCCTAGTCCAGTGTCAGTCTCCAGGTTCATCTCTCATGGCTAACTGGTTCAGTCTTTATCTCATTTTATCTTCTTACAACTAATTCTAATAAACATCATGTGTCTAGTGTGTATCACTTCCTATGGTTAACATAAAGATAGTAATTCTGTGTTATGTCATATGTACCTTTCTAGGTGAGGTGATGTAATTAAAAACTTTAATATGCTGAATGATTTACCTTAATATTTTCTTTATTTTAATGTAATATTTGATATACAAAATATTTATAATTATATGCAAAGTGATAAAATGAGTGTACCACATTACAAAAACCAGAATTACCAATGTTATGTTTACTCACCACCAGAGGTAACTACCATCCTGAATTTTGTATATCATTACTCGCTTTTGAGAAATAATTTTGTCAGATAAGTATATATCCCTCAACAACGTGTGTTTTCTATTGTTTTTGAGTTGGAAAAGAAAAGAATCATACTAGGTAAAGTTTTCTGGAATTTATTCAACATTATGTTTCTAAAAGTCACTAATATTATTGAATATAGAAGTAAGTTCTTAATTTTTGCTGTTGTATAGTATTCCATGGGTGAATCTAACACAATTTATGGATTCTCCTATTGGTAGATATTTTCTTTACTTCTAGAATTTATTGTTAATGAAGATTCTTGTACATATTTTCTGGTACAGAGTTGCAAAAATTTCTCTTAATGTTTCACAGCAGATGCATAACTCACAGGGGAGTTAGAAAGATTTAACAAAGAATGCTTGGGCACAAAATGGTGTTAATAAATGAATTTCTGTATCCTTTTCTTTCTTTCTTTCTTTAATTGTGATTTGGGTGAAAATTTACAGAGCAAATTCACTTTCCATACAGCAGTTCACATACACTTTGTCTCATGACCTTGACTACAATTTACCACAATGCAACAGCTCACCTCCCACTTCCTCCTCGTAATGACCTCTTCCCTGTGTCCATCCCTCCATGCACTCCTGCCCCCTGAGCTGTCTCCCTGTGCATAAGTAGCCCTTCTTTCTCCCATGATTGTTCTCTCCAAGGAGTGTATCTGCCTCAGGTAAATGTTCAGTTTGTATGCCTGTCTTTTGTTTGGCTAGAAGCCACAGGTGTGGGTTCAATTCCTGACCTGAAGGGCAGCTAGGGGCCATAGACTCAGTGGTTCCACCAGGCTCTATCAGACCAGCACCTGGCCCTGTCCTTCCCCCCCTTTTTTTTTCCTCCAAATGATTTTGAGTTTTGTTCCACATTGTTCTCTCTCTCTATCCAAGATCGCCTATATCGATCCCACTCTGAGTGGTTGACAGTGGTAGCTGGCCACCATCTAGTTCTGATTTCATAGTCGTATAGGCTGAGGTAGATCCTTACTTTTTGTATGTATTCTTTTCTAAAATTGATAATGTCTGAGGCCAATGATATAGGCCACCGCTGGATTTCCTTTACCGTCTTCCCTTTCACAGTAGCCTTCCCCTCCCCCACATGGAATGTTGGGGGGGTTGTTCCAGTCCAGGCATCTCCCTCATTATCTCTGCAAAAGATACATTTCCAATAAGGTTTCATTCTTTATGTTTAATTTTCAATGTAAATAGTTAATGTTACGATCAACTATGTTCTATTAATTGTAACATTTAGAAGAATGATGTATCAGTTTTATTTAAAATGTCACCATGATACTTCAGAAATTCATCCTCTCCAATTATTTAAACTTATGCTGAATTTTTTTTTTAGATGTTATTTTAATGTGTGAAGGGGTGAGTGATTTTAAAAAGTTTTTTGGGGGAGTTTGTTTATTTGTTTACCAAAAATTGTTGGGTGTTGCCAACTGCTGATAGGCATGGCTGCTAACTGAAAGTTGGGCATTTTGAACCTACCCAGCAGCTCTGATGATCTGTCTTATAAAGATACAGCCTCAAAACCCAATGGAATGGTACCTAACTATAACAACATGCTATTACACTGGCACAATTATTAATACTTTCAGGTTTATGAGATATCTGGATA